AAAATGAATGAGGGACAAATAGGCGACTCTGGAGTGCGCCATGCATTTGGTTTGGGCTAACAATTGCTTCCGCTGGAATTAAAAAATGAAGTTACATTCAAATAACAAATCAGAGCTTTAGTAGTATACCTTAAATGATCAGAGTCTTCAGTTAGGATGAAAATAATAGCTCCCGATTCGCCCAGGGCGGACCCCGAACATCCCTAGACCACCTGTGAACAATTCCCTCTTCGGTCTATGAAAGACATTCGAGTCAAAGATTTAGATCCATCCGGAGACTACTAAATTCTCTTCAGAATTGTTGGCTATATTTCAATCGAATTTCTGCCATCTTGTCTGTCCGCTGTTGATGTGGGAACAGCATCGACGTCGTGGACGTCGTCGTCGTCGTCATCGCTGGTAATGCCGTCGGACTCAAGGTCTTGTGAGTAATCAACGACGAGCCGGCCATCGTTTGTGCACGTTTATTGCCACAGATAAATCACCGACACAAACGAAATTTAATTGAGAGTTCAGCGATTGACTGCAGTCTCTCTCGCGCTCCTATTTCCTCAGTTATAAAAAAGACGAAATACGGTCAATTGATTTGGAGAGCAGAGGAACTGGAGAAGTATTCGCAGATAATGGCTGCAAACAGGCCGGTTTACAGTAGCTGATAAGAAGAAAAATCAGATAGCGACCTGCAGAGCTGATAGGACTCTTTTGGGATGCGCCTTGATTTCAACTTCCCACCGGGATCACAGATGTGTTTGAATGCGCGAGCCTGAGGCAGTCACTTTTTGCTCATCAGTGTCAGACTATCGTGAAGGGTGATGTCAGCTAACCTAAGCATTGGCTGTCCCTCGAACGCCGCTGTCCAGGCCTAACAAGATAACCAATTTTAAAGCTAGCCAGCTTTTTTCGGAGAATTTCAGCCCAGGATATGGCCGGCACCGAAAGAACAATGGCTAAGGAACGGAGCCTATGATTAGCCGTGGTAGGATTGATCCAAATAGCTTGTAACCGAATGCAGCGGGTGCTATCGCAAGATACTGGGGCATCTTATAGGGCTAAGCCCAGGAGGCTGCAGGAACGTCGGGGAAACGAAGACTGCTCATGTATCCTGAGGTGTTTTTTCCCTACCTAAGGCTGAGTCCCGATTTTAGCAATAAAAAATGTTTTGCGCACTTATAATTTAATTAACACCACGATACCCCCCCCCCATATTTTGCTACGGCGCTTACAGCTGCGCCCCATCCCTTTCCTGAATCCTCATCCCACTTTTTGCTTCAGAACATCAAATGTCCGTCTGGGAAAGCTGACGAATACACATCTATAAAGCCACCTTAGTAAACCCGTCCATCCCTAAAACCCTTTTGAACAGCAGAAGCTCAACGAACTGAGGGCTACGCCCAGTGAGAGAGCAAGCAAAGCGCGAAATACTCTAAACAATTGCAATAAGCGAACGAATACATAAGACAATTAAGGCAGTACAAAAAACTGGCCACATCTATGCAAGAATTGATCAGCAAAAGTAAAAGACCTTGAAAACCCTTTCCAATTCGCCCTGTGGGACAGTTCTCCGCACACCTTTGTCAAAAAAAGTTATTAACCAATAAATAACTCACAAGAAGGCAACAATTAATCGATAATCAGGAATTGAACATTTTTTCAGATGAGTAATTACAGTACTGCAAGAGATACCGGTTATTAACACGGGCATTCGGCCAATCGTATGAGACAAGGTGTAAGCGCGAATCTTCTATTCCCTTTGATATCAGGATTTTTTGGGGCTTTATTCCAGTCTGTTTACCGGGACCCCAATGACACCTACCGTAACACGACGATGTCCATCTGAAGAACAGAGAGCCTACAGTAATCCCAAATTGGCATAGCATATCTTTCTCTTACATTCCCATGCTCATGCCAAGTAATGTGATTAACAAAATTACCCGGAACACTGGCAACCCCGTGCAGTACACTAATAATGCCTTGCCTTAGGCAACCAGCCTGCCCGTCACCCGGCGCTACCCGGGGAGATGGCCAGGTCGCACTAATGCTATCAGATTGATAAGCGTCTCGTAGCCAAAAGAGCCATTTAAGGACAAATCCGGCAAGGTGACTAGATCTCATCCGGACGCGATGGGTGTCACTTATACCTGGAGACATAGCCCAGGTGGAAGAATGAGATAAGCGATGACATCTATGAGAAATTCTACGAAAGAATATTGAGAATGATTCAGAAACATGGGGAGTGTCCCAGAAGTCGTGCACCAGCATTTTTATAGGCTTAATAGTTGGAGATGAAATGAACTCACCGATACCAATCCAGTCCTTTGTGGTAGTTCTTGTCGAAAAAATGCACTTCTGGTCCAGGTGCTCGAATATTCGGATTCAGTCGAAGGAACTCAAGCAGCGCTCGAGTGCCAGCCTTCTTGACACCGACAATTATCGCTGGTAGGGAATGTCTTGCGCATCGGTACTGGAGACGTTCCGATCGACGTCATTAGGAGTAACTGTAGAAGTAAACTGAGCACCATCCTGAAACAAATGGATGAATTCAAGAGAAAGGCAAAAAAGTAGGGACCGACGACAGAAGGGGAATGGGAAAGCAAGAAGACGGTAAGTATTTCTCGAGCGCCTAGAAATAGCCCAAGATAACTGTACTTAGTAGCAGTAATACCACGGAGCTAATTAGAAATGTCCTTTGCAGCGGTTTATTTGAACAGAACAAAAAGAAGAAGCGAGAGCATCGAGTGAAGATTTACTCCGCTTCTTCACGAAGGAATAGAAAGCCTAAACCCTGGTAGAAAAGGTAAATGCATTTCCATAGAGAGTACCTTAAGAGTTAAGGTTGACAGAAACCGAGATAGTCATTTTTTTTCTCACAGTTCACAGCCGCACCTACTTGCACAGGTTTCCTCAGGTTTCGTTGTGAGGCAAATTAGGAAACTGGCTGACAGAATAACTCAGCTGGCATTATCGCCTTCTTTGGAGCCTGGAAGGACAAAAGACATTCGAGAAACTACCCGTCCAAACACTTTTGAAACTACAGAAGTCACCTAACAGGATTGTAGGCTACTAAGGCGATGCCATGAACTATGAAGACCAACCTTTAGGAACGTTCACTTGGATGGTCCCGTAGTTACCTCGAGCGCACGTAGGATGCAGCTTAAGAGCTAGTTTACCGCAAGGCCATTGAAAGTCACTTATTTTGCAATTAAAATTTCAGATGAAAAGTAAAGTGCGCACCAGACTACCCAAGATAGAGACAATAATCTTAGAATTTATTTAAATTATTTATTATGCGCCCAATGACGCCTCTAAGCGCGCGGTAAATGAAAATAAATTTATTTAGGAATTTTCACAACTCGTCCAAAAAAAGGTAAGTGACTCAAAATCGCAATAAGTGGCTCTGAAAACATAAAGGGGGGGACTATATGCATGTAAAACAAAGGCCACAAGTTCAATGAATGATTGGTCTCAACGTTCAGAAGTATTTATTTATTTATTTTTATTTATCTTTGCACTCATTGGTGCGCTAAAACAGCAGAGTGGGTTAGTTCTGATAGAATGATCGAGATCAAAAAGGAAAACAAAAACAAAAACAAGATATCTCTAAAATAGCCTAATTCGAAATGTTCCCTCAGTCTATGGGCCGACGGCGCAGTGGGGACCAATAAAACAGACTAAAGCACAAAAGAGCTCAGCACTTACTAGCTAGCCATCGAATGTAGTGGTGGGAAGAATCTCAATAAGTGGAAGAGTGCCTATGCCACCTTTACATTATCAGGTAACCTGGACATCAAAAACGGTAAGTGCAGGTCAGTCTAGGCAACGCAACCAACCGAAATTGTAGTGAATTGAAAGTGAAAGTATGAATTATTAACCCCTTTTTAACCCAACCCCAGAAGAGCCGGGTCAATGGCAGTAGTATCAGCAGTGAATGAAACTCGGATCTGACTCCGTCCAAGACAATCAACGCTTCCAAACATCTCCAAGTTCATACGGTAATTGGCGTAAACAAACGTAAATAAGAAGAGAGAAATTGAAGATCAATTGCTCTCCACCAATTTTTTATATGGCGTACATATGTACATATTCGAGCGCAATCACAATTTTGAATAACGAGTGGGGGTGCGTGCGTATGCCCAAGGAAAAAGTTAACTCCAAACACACGCTACACCTTCTCAACTCCGGCAATCGCGCTCCGTCGGGTAAGGGGGGGGCATTGGTGATGCAACGTCTAATAGCTGCCCTCACCCCCCACCCCCCTGAACTGGCTTCACTCCCCCTGGCTCACGGGGTCCCGTACTTCGAGAAACCTGTGCGCCAGGGGGAGTGTAGGCAGTCTAGGGGGGTGGGGGGTGAGGCAGCCACTTGATGCCCCTTACTGGATGAGCGCCTCTATATTTTGTATGCCCACCACTGCTTGAATTGTGTTTGCTTGTTTTTGATACCACAAAGAATAATGGCGCCATGGCTATGGAAAACAAGGTGAATCGACTAGTCAGCAAAGCTCATGCGAACGACATCTTCATTATTGTAGCCTTTAAGGGCACTCATCCGGCTGTTGCGTAGCCATGGCTACATCTACGTAGGTGATAAAGAAGATAAGCGAAATAAAGTTTTTTTTAGAGAGTTCTCATAAGAGGAGCAAGTAAGGACAATAGATAGGTGATTAAGCAGCAGAAAAGGGCAGATGGATAATGAGATTGAGAGGATTCTAATCACTGATGGCCAAGGCTGGCTCATAATGGCTGTAATGGCTATTTTGCTGAAGGCAGTGTTTTGTGTAGCCTTGAAGGGTCTTATTAGGGCTGCTGCATGGCAACGGCTGCATTTGGCCAAATATGGGCTAAATAGCAATGAGTAGCCTTCAGAAGTTCTTTAGAAGAATTCAGAGAAGAGTATAGACACGTGAAAATGTCACAAAGGTCGACAGCGAAGCTTAACCTTTTGAGGCTTCTTCTGGCTAAAAATGGCTATATATGACCAAGGTTTAGCGGAACACGACATATGTCCTTAACAGTGAATAGGAAATATCAGTGGCCCCGACTCTTCGCAGCTGACCACAGAAGTATAGGAGGGTCGGAAGGTGAGGCGTGGCGATGAAGATCCTCTCTCGTGGCGGGGCCAGCAGCTGGCGCGGCAGGGCCTCACGCTGCACATCGTGAGGTCGTCGGCCATTTCGCTGACACTGCCGCACTCGCCCTAAATTATGCGCCATTTTAGGGGCAAAAGGCTCTTGATAAGTTGCACCGTTGGAGCTGAACCCGCAAGCCGAACAGAAGTCGTCTGAGTGTTTCCCCGCCTCATCGGAGGGAATTCCCCGTGGACATACACGGAATTCGAGCCGGCTGTACTTTGAGAGAAACGTCAGCGGTTGGTGAAAAAGCACAGTGTGATGGCCGGAGGCACATCGCGCTCACATCCTCGGAAAAACGCGTTGTGTGCAATTTCACGTCGATTTCGATTAGACAACATGGCGACGAGTTCTGATAGTCCGCGAAAACACAAAGACAGAAAGGCTGGCTAGCGGTCGGACGCGTCTGACTTTGTGACACCACCATGGAGTCAACGGAACACACGAACGATCATTTGCATGTCTTTGGCATGAGATTGTCGTTTGAAATCGCTCCGAAACTGATTTCCGCGGGAAAATTAACGAATCCATTAAAAAATCGGCTCGAAAAACACATTTTTCAGTCAAGTACACATTTCGTCCAAAGGACATCCCTATGAAGCTAATAAGAAACAGAAGCTCCACGTGGGAAGGTCTGATCATTCAAATGTGGAAAAAATTCTGAAGCCAGACTTGTTTTTGTTTGTTAACTGCTGTTTTTGGCCGCAGTTCGCCTTGCGAATGTTTCACAAGAATGCTGGGTTGTGAACAAAACTTTCGCCCCAGGCGGGACTAGAACCCGCACCTCTCGCTTTCCGGGCAAGTGCGCTACCAGTTACGCTACCGGGGCACCATTTCATCCCAACTCAGCTTCTAAACCCGAAAAAAATCGAAAAATTGACACTGGTTTCAGAGAGTGACGGATGTAAAAGTAGAACGTCTAACTTAGTTATTCAGCCAGGATGCGCCATGCTTTCGAACCGTATACTGTTATATGGACCAATTTGAAAGGGCTAAAACCAGGTAATCATATTTGGAGACTAAAAGTGTTTTTGGCAGAGTTCGGAGCTCTATAAATAAGCCTTACATTTACCCTCTTACCGACTCCTGTCTAGGGAACCTTGCTAATTCAAGGAGAAGTGCCGAGTTAAGGAGTAACGTCGCCACTATCCACTGCATTTCAGCTTCCAAAGATATTTTACCACAGAGATAGCAAAAACCTTAGGTAGCTTAGAATAATGAATAAATAGTAAAATAACTAAAGACGTAAACAAAAGAGGATAATCGAAAAAATTTCCCGTGTAATCCTCCCCTATCTTGGGATGCGCCACGTATTCTGCTTCTTTTCAGATTCGTGGTGAAGTTTTAATGCAACTCCACCACAACGATGGGTTGTGGAGAGCAGCTGATGTGCACACCAGCCTTTTGTAGTCTTGAACAGATGGTGCGAGGGTTGAGGCGTGGAAAACTTGTTGGGCCTAGGCGAGGATTGAGCCGGGCATGGTCCCCGAACATGTTCGTGGTATGCGGCCCCACTTGCACCTACGCTATTCATGTACCGAATAAACAAACGGGCAAAAAGTCAGTATGCTTTCAAGCTCCAAAATAATATAATACTTAGAAGGATGAACCAAAAACAAACAAGTATAAACAACTGTGGCAAAGCAGTCCCAGTTGAGATCCTACAATGTGCCGGTAAGGATTCGGAGCCTTAGGTTAGGCCTTACAATAGAACGGAGAGGGTCAAGGTCCGATGAAATGAAAAGGAGGTTCTGAAGGAAGTAAATGAATCTTTTACGATCGATTCGTCCTGGTCTACAGGTGGAATTTCAAGCAGAGACCTAGAAAACGTCTGCCTCTGACTGACAACGCCAGTGTGCGGCCTGAGTTCGAGCATAGCCCTAGTGCGACCCGTAAAGCGGATGTTTCACCCAACCGCTTGGTTTCCGCCTGACCATAAGCCGCTCGGATCACTTACCTCTAATAAGCACTTTGACATAAGCGGCTGGATGGAGCCTAATTGCCCTTTGGCTCCCGAGCTTCTTGGATGAATTGCCAGCCAGCAGTCTCGTGCCTCATTCCTTCTCCACGTCACCACTATAATATGCATGAAAAGTGCCCGGCCATATCAAAAACTTCGGCAATAAATGCTCCCGCCACCTCATGCAAAGCTTATCACGGGTGAAGTTTCCGATGGAACATTCCGAAGTGCAGTGGCATTGCTGACCACAAAGGTGGATGGGTAGTGACGGCAGAGCCGACGCCTGTCTGTACTCTGCTCGATCGCACTGGAGGCGAACAAGGAAATCTGGCCAACAACATCACGCATACTGGACAGAACCATATATATTAATACC